GCGACTCTTTTTACCTCTATAAAAACTTTCTTCCACTTCGCGGGAAAACGCGACGAAATGCCATATCTAGACCGAGAGTGAGAGAAAACGTAGTTACCAGAAGTATGGGGAGGGAAGGAATGATGGGAGAGAATTCTTTTCGCCCCTTGAGACTTTGAAAATAATAAAAAGCCACAAAAACAAAGGAAGATGGGCTACTTAACGAAACAAATTGTTGCTTCGTCGGTTAACAGAAGAGAATTTAAAAGTTTTTGAGTCGTTACTTTTTCCTTCCTTTTTTTTCTTCACGTCTTTTCACTCATCCCCCCATCCATTCTAATTTCTTGCAAGCCATGGCTATAGGCAGTTTGGCCACTCTGTACCTCTTTACGAAGAGCCTACCGTCTCCTCCGTACCCCATCTAACACAATTCAGCGCTCGTTAGCGACAATTTGCTTTCTTTCAAATACGTTTTCCAAGTGATGGTGGGGAGGAGAACACTCGGGTGAAAATTTTCTACGGAAAGTGGAGAGGAACCACTTCTGGTCAACTCCTTGAGACACATCAGGATCTATATTTGTAGAAAAAATAATGATAATGAGTCATCATTCTTCATTTGTATTCCTTTTTGATTCGTATTGCTTTGAAAAATGTACCCAGATTTTTTTTCCGAGAAATACTTTCCATTTGATTTTTCATGGATTAATGATAATTGTTGAAATGTCAATTTTTCATCATTTCTAGTTCTTTTTGATTCGTATTGCTTTAAAAAAAAATTCCCCGGGTTTTTCCTAAGAGACCTTTCCATTTTATTTTTCGTGGACAGATGAATAATTGTTGAAATGTCAGTCCTTCTTCATTCGTATTTCTTTTTGATTCGTATTGCTTTGAAAAATTTACAGAGATTTTTTTTCCGAGAAATCCTTTCATTCTATTTTTCATAAACTAATATCAGTTGTTAAATAGTCCATCCTTCTTCACTCTTATTTCTTTTTGATTCGTATTGCTTTCGTAAAAATTGATATCAATAAAGTTGAAAACCTATCGATAACCATCAGAACCCATCGAGTCTCCACCAATTACCAAACAAAACAGTCTAAAATCACGCGATCCTCACACTTCCCTTAAACTCCACAAAATCCCAAGAAACAATTCTCTCTGCCCCCCCCCCCTTCGTACAATCTATAAAACCATTCGTAGGAAAGAATATCAAGGGGCAAGAATATCATTTCGTATAATTTTATCTCCACCCGTAACTGCCCCGCGACACGATACCAGTGAAAATAAGTCCATTCAATCGAGAGAGACAATTCGAAATGAAGAAAAACTGCAATAAAAAGATGATATAATGAAAACAATAGGGCATCGGACCGTTATATATTCCAATTAGACGTCCCCTCCCCCCCAACCACCCTTCGCACTCTCCAAAAATGAATAGTGACAAATAGACGAGGGAGAACGTGAGAATTCATTCTTGAACTTCCTATCATTTTTTTCCTTCTCAACTAGAAATTTTTTTCCTCACCACCTCCCTTTCTTGTTTTACACACGTAAAATAGGGGTTGAATTTCTGAGACAATGGGGTTATACCTAGGGTTCACTCTATCCAATTTGCATTGTGTACATTAAAAAATTTTCTAACCCTTTATCAACTACTGTAACTCTCATTCCTGTATTTTTCTTTCGACTGTGAATTTTTTTTCTGCGGAAATTCCGGTTATGCAGCTGTCAGAGATGCAGCATTTGAAATATTTAAAAAAAATCCAAAGGACTCGATACGAAATAAAGAATACGAAAAATATTTTGTTTCAATTGATGAAAAATTATCTAGCCCTCAAAATTCATGAGATGCAATTATTAAGGATTTACGCGGGTTAAAAAAACGTAATTTTGTGGAAAAATATTT